TTCGTCGGTGCGGTGAACCTTCGGGACCACTGTGCCGTGGGTCCAACCCGGAGACACCACCACCATCGCCAACAACCGCGGTGACGTCACCACGACGCTCGTGCCAGGCCATGTGCACGTTGAGGCCACGTGAAGCGTCGAATGCCCGCTGGCAGGAGGTCAGGGAGCAGACCCAGCAGGTGCCACGGGTCGACTGACTGAGATGACTGGCCGATGCACCACCTGTACCCCCCCCCACTGTGCCAACTTGCTGCGTTTTAACCGCCAGGCGCTCCACTCGTTGTTGTGAGCGTCGCTCCTCCGACCTCCATTGTTAGCCCGTGCCGGGCTAGAGAAGAGATGGCATGCGGTGGCTGGGCATGCGGGCTACATGACCCAGCCATCGCAGCCTTGCCCGCCGGAGGAGCTCACCGATGGGACCTTGCCCAGATCTTTCCGGGATTTGTGAGCTCCTCACACAATCCCTCCTGGTTAATCCCCAGGATGGATCGTAGGCAGGCCAGCCTGAATGTTTATAACCATCACCACCACGACCACAATCACGACAACCACCACCAATGGGCGGTGGTGGCTACGGTGCTGCTCGTGGCTGCCCGCGACAGGGTCATCCGTAGCTGCGGGGGGGGGGGGGCGGGGGGGGGGGGGGTGCGGGGCCCTGGGGCAAATTACACCTGACGCCGAAGCGCGGGGCCCTCCGAAGCGCGGTGCCCCGGTCGGTAGCCCCGATTGGGCCGTTGTGCCCCCTTAGCGGGGGGGGGGACGGGGGGGGGGGTCCGTGTCCTGCGATCCAGCGCCGTTGCGGAGGGGGGGCGGCGAGGGTCGGCGGCGGATCATCGCGCGGACGGCCGCGCAAGTCCCCCCCCCGCGGGCGTCGAGGACGAGGTGCCGTGCCGTTCCTGCCCGGTAAACGCGGGGGGCTGCAACGCGTTGGGGCCAAGCCTCCCGTCCGTCCCACCTGGACGCGGTCGAGAGTGTCGCCCCCTTCCTCGCACTGCGGTGACTTTCGTTCGTGCCCTCCTCGTTTTCCCCGGCACGCGCGCGCATGCGGGCAGTCGCACGCGTGCCGTTCATGACCTCGCTTGGCAACGTCATCCCAATAAACGCACCTCCGTTGCTTGGGGATAGCGCCGAGAGGTCCCGTGGATGCAGTTTGCGTGCATTGCGCTGCCCGAACATATTCATGTGCAGGGGCACGTGCATCGGAGAATCTTGAAGCACATTCAGGACAACCAACTCGTGAACCACGCACGAAGAACGAGAGCACAACGACGGCCATCCGCGAATTTCGTCCACGCGGTGCCGCGATGCGACCGGCCCGCCAAAGCCGCCAAGCCGCCCCCCCCCCCCCCCCCCCCCCGCGTGGTATCCTGACCCCCGAAAACGACGGCAAAGTGGGATCCCGCCGCTCCCCCCCCCGACCCCGTAGCACTCTGGAAGGGGATTACTTCTGCGCGCGAGCCTCCGGGGCGTGCGTGCGCCCGCGCGCGCCGCGTTTAATCCGCGGGCGCGTTAACCCACGGCGACCCGGGAAATGAGCCGTCTTTACCCTCTCCCCATCACCGTTAAACGTTCCCCGCGGGTTTTTAGGGTTTTGGGTTTAGGGTTGCCGTCGCTCTCCCCCCCCCCCCCCCCCCCTCTCTCTCTCTCTCTCTCGGCCGCCGTCGCCGCCAGCGCCGCTTTGCCCTCGTCGTGTTTACAGGAAGCCGGGGAGAGTGCTTCCGAAGAAATGAAATGAAACTTGCGTGCTGCCTTCTGCCGCCGCCCGTTTGCTTGGCCGCGAGCGGGCGCCCGTAATCCGATTGGCGCTCGGAAATTGGCTCGGGGGAAGTGGCGGCGTTGGGCTCCCGAACCCGGCAGAGAACGCCCGCCCGCCCGCCCGCCCGCCCGCCCGCCCGCCCGCCCGCCCGCCCGCCCGCCCGCGACGACCCATGCTCACCGCCGGGTTTGCCCCCAATTACCGGAGGACTTAACCCACGCCGTCGAGAGGGCTCACGTTGTGGCTACCGGTGATTCCCCCTCACCACCGCCCTCGCCCGCGTGCCCTGGCGCCCGTTGGACGGTCGGCGAGCCCCTTTCGGCCCGCCCGATGGGTAGGCTCGGGTTGTGCGTTGCCCGGCGTGGTTTCCGACGCGTCGGCCCGGCGTGACCGATGTCCGACGTTCCGCTCCTCCTTTGCTGGCGTCTCGGTTGCTGCGGCGGCTCTCCTCCTCCGCACGGTGGAGTGCAGCGTCGGGACGCGCTGCCGAACGTCGCACGGCGACCACCGCGCAAACCCCACGCGGTGGCATCTCGCAAACCCCACGCGGTGGCATCTCGTGTCTGCTCGGTACTGGTGGCAGCTTGGCAGTGATTTTGTATCTAGAACTGTGGTTTCCCTGTCTCCCACTTTCTCTGCTCAACCTGCGTCTCCGCACTCCCTGCGTCACTCTACTCCCTGCGTCTCCGCTCTCCCTGTGCCCCCGCTGTCCCTGTGTCTCTGCCCTCCCCCGTGTCTACACTCGGGCTGCGCCTCTCCGCTGGAGTTATTCCACCGGTGCCCCATGCCTTTTGTGCGATCTCGGTCATATCGGTTCCCGTTGGCTTTCATTACTTTTTTCCGTCAAAAAGTGTTTCGGCCTTGTGCGATTTAAAAATAGAAATCGTCGTCGTCGTCGCCGTCATCATCATCGTCACTCTTAGCCGGTATGTGTTGTGTATTTTGTTTATTGGCCTTGACTTTTAAAAGGTTCCAGCAACAAATGTATTTATGCTGCAAATCAGTTCCCCTAAGTGCCTGACTGCTGCCGCTGTGTATTTTTCTGTGTACGTGCCGCAGGTATCCACACGTGTGTGTGTGTTTGTGTATATGTGTGTGTCTGTCCATACGTGTATGGGGAGCGGTGGTGTAGCGGTTAGCGCGCCGCGCCACGAACCCGGTCGGCCCGGGTTCGATTCCCGCTCACAGCCAACACCGGTGACGATTATCTGAACCAGTCTTGGGCCTCCTCCCCTGGGTCGACTCAGCCTCAAATGGGTACCTGGCGCGGTGTGTAGTCACTGGGGAGACAAAGGCGGTCGGGCGTGGTGCTTGGTCACCCACCCCCCTCGTGTACCGTTCTGGCCTTCAACGGTGCTCGCTAACAGCACTTTCCCCAACAGTCTGTTAAGGCTATATGGGGGATCTTTGTCTTTTGTTTTGTCCACACACACACACAGTGAGTGGCCCAGCGGTAGCGCATCCGCAGCTCTCTTACAGAGGGGGGGGGGGGGGGGCGGCGACCTCGCAGGACAACCGAGCGCTCGCGAGTGAAGGGCCGGGCCGTGGCTAGCAGGGCCAAGTGGCCAGGCCAGCTGACCTCTAGCCCCGCGAGGCGAAGGCCGCTCCCGAGCCGAGTGACGGGTCGTGTGAAGTTTCCGTCGGACGGCGCTGCGGGCTCTTTGCGGCGGTCGGCTCGGGTTTGCTCCCCCCGGCCTTTTAATCAGCCGCAGCCGGGCCCGGCCCCTTGAGAGCCGTTGCCGGCCAGAGCGCTGACGGTGCGGTTATTGCCATGCCCCGCATCGTTGCCTGTGCCATCCTTCCCAGGAGACCTCCGTCTGCCAATCGCCAAAGCCCTCGAAGCCCCATAAACCACCCGCCGCACGGCTCGCCAACGGCGGTGTTAATCTTACCACGCGGCACGCGGCCGACACACCGGTATTTTGGGCACGCGTCAACGCCAGGGCACTTCGCTCACCGCGCACGGCGCAGCAGCGCCCCAGCGCCGAACCGCCGCGTGGGCCTCTTGCGCGAATCCGTGGGCGTCCGCGATGGGCGCGACCCCCATCGCTCGCACCGTCCACCGTCGCCCGACCGCACGCTCCCCCCGGGGCCCCCGGCGGCAGTGTTGAACCCCGGTGACCCCGCCCCCACCGAGCGAGCGTTTGCCGGACGTGCCGAATTGGTCTGCCGTGTGCGGGGCGTCCGTCGTGGCCTTTGTGGGTTTGACGTCCCGAGCCCTGAGCCATCATTTCGTAGCTGCTGATTTGTGTGTGACTGTGTGTGACTGTGTGACTGTGTGTGTGTGTGACTGTGTGTGTGTGTGACTGTGTGTGTGACTGTGTGTGTGTGTGTGACTGTGTGTGTGACAGCACTTGCCCTAACAGACTGTTAAGGCTATGCGAGGGATCTTTGTTTTTTTTGTATGAAACTTAGACCCCCCCCCCCTCATGGAACATCTTCGCCGGTTAGAAACATTCAGGCTGGCCTGCCTACGATCCATCCTGGGTTTAACCAGGATGGATTGTGTGAGAAGCTCACAAATCTTTGAAATATCTCGACAAAGACCCATCGGTGAGCTCCTCTGGCAGGTAAGGCTGCGTTGGCTGGGTCACGTAGCCTGAATGCCCAGCCACTGCATGCCTAAACAGCTTTTGTTAGGCTGGGGCTAAACGGGGGCTAAACAAGCAAGGCAGGAGCTAGAGAAGAGATGAAGTGATGTGGTACAGGAAGGCTGAGTGGACTTGCCGATGACTGGTACCAGCGGTGTCAAGATCGGCCTCTCTGGAGGAGGCTCGTGAAAGACGCCACTGGGCAGTTGAAGGCAGTCGCCGTCCAACAACAACGGGGGGCGGAGGAGCGACGCTCACAACAACGAGCGGAGGGCCGGGTGGCTAAAACGCAGCAGGTTGGCACAGTAGGGGGGGGCACAGTTGGTGCATCGGCCCAGTCATCTCGAGTCAGTCGACCCGTGGCACCTGCTGGGTCTGTCCCCGTGACCTCCTGCCAGCGGGCGTTGGACGCTTCACGTGGCCTCAACGTGCACCTGGCCTGGCACAAGCGCCGTGATGGCGTCACCGCCACCGAGTGGCGAATTGCGGTTGTTGTCGTACAACTGTGCGCGCGCGCGCGACTGCGTGTAGAGCGGAAGTGCAGCCGTTAGATTCCCCGTTCCTTCCCCCCCGCACCTTAGGCCGACATCGCCTCACGATCTTCGCCCCCCCGCGCCTTTTCAATTTCTTTTTTGCCACGCGTGCGTGCGCAGGCTTCGCTCGCTGCTCGGCGGCGTGCTGGAGGAGCGCCGCTCGGTCCGCCAGGAGTTGCTGCACGTGGACTCGCAGCTCAAGGAGATGGCGCTGAGGAGCCACCAGCGGGAGCGCGACCAGGCCCGCGTGTGCCTGCTCTGCGACGACCACCGCACCGTCGACAAGGTGCGCTCGCCCGTCCCCTGTCCATGCCCCCTACTGGTCCCCTCCCCCCTCCCCGTGCACGCCTCCCCCCAATCTTCCGTCGCCCTTCTCCGCCACACACCCCCCCCCCCCCCCCCCCGCCCCCACCCTCTCCCCCGCCCCGCTCGCCTTCTCCCCTCCGACCCTGGCGGTCGCCTGTCCCATCACCCATCCTGCCCCCCCCCCCACTTTTCTTCACCCCCTTCTGCCTCCCCGTCTCCTGTCCATCCCCTGCTGTCCCCCTCCTCCCCCCCCCCTCCTCCTTGCCTGCTCTCCCCTCCATCTCCCCCTCTCCCCCTGTCTCCCTTCTGTGCCCACCCCCTCCCCCCCGCCCTGCTTACCTGCCCCCATTTCTCCTGTTCCACCCCACCACCCCCCCCCCCCACCCCCCTATCTCCTCACCGGTGCCGTTTGGCGAAGCGCTCGGCACGGCACGGCACGTGGGAGGCGGTTGGCGGCGGAGTGGTGGAGGGGGGGGGGGTGGGGGGGGGGTGGGGTGGGGGGGGGTGGGGGGGGGGTGGGGGGGGGGTGGGGTGGGGGGCGGGGCCTGCGGTGTTAAACGCGCGAGTTCATTAAGCGCAAACGAGCGGCGCCTCGTTAGGCGTGCGCGTGACACCTGCTCGTTAGGCGGCGGCGGCGGCGGTGACTCAGCGCGCGATCATTTACCGGGGGGGGGGGGGGGGCGCTGGGGGCCGGTCATCGCGTCGATCGCGTTTGCCGCCGTCGCTAATTGGATTTATTTTCTTTGTCGGCGCCCGGGCCCCGAAAGTTTGTGGCTCGTTATTTTCCGCGCCCTTTTGTTTTCCGGTCCCTCTTCTCCTCTCTTCCACCGCCCCCCCCCCCCCCCCCCCGCACGGCGGCGGCGTTGTGGGGGGGCCGTTGGGTTTGTTGGCCAGCGCCGATTGCTTTTATGTCCGGCTGGAGGGCTTGAGCGGCAGCCGGCGAGGGGTCTCCTCGATCAGTCATCTCCCTGTCACGCTTCTATTGCTACTCCCGCGGTTACCGCCGCCGTGCAATTGGCTCTCGTCAATGCCTCCGGCTTCGTCGAGGGCTCGGTCGGTCTGGACGCTGACCGTTTCGTCGCGACCTGCACACTCCTGCCGAACCTCCGCCACCACTCTCGATTCAACCACCACCACCGCCGCCGCCGCCGCTACATTGCAGGACCACAGCAACTCACTCGCCCGCTTTCCCTTTCACCCGCTCACCAACCCGCTCACTCGCCTACCCATCACACGGAAAGTCACGTCAAACTCGCGCAAACCACTCCAATTACCCGCTCGCCTGTTTTCCCGCTCTCACCAGCTCACCTGTTCACTCACACACTCACCCGTCCACTCATCTGTTCACTCGCTTAATTTCACTCACGAACCTCTTCATCGGTTCAGATTATTGTCACTGTTGAGGAGGAATCGAGCTTGGTTCTCTGGGTTCGTAGCGCAGCGCGCTGACCGTTGCACTCCCGCTCATATTTACACACACACACACTCAACCGCTTGCTTAACCATATGCGTAACTTCAATCACACACAACCACCCGTTCGCTCTACCGCACACACTGTCAAAAGATATCCCCGCCTAGCCTTTCGCAAGCGACTGACATAAGCGTTGTTGGCGAGCACCTATTGAGTCCGGCACGGCGCACGAAGGGGGATCACGTGGTCACAGCGCCAGGCGCTCATTTCAGACGCGACTCAAGGGCCCCGGGTCTGCTTCTGTTCACTCGCAGCGGATGTTTAGCCGCGGCCAGGAATCGAACTCAGGCCTCCAGGTTCGGAGTGCGGTGCGCCGCTACCTGCGCAACCACTCCCCCCCTCCCCCCATAGGTTTGAGTCGGCCTCGCGCGGGCCGTGGGCAAACGAAAATAACAAGAATAGGCGACCTTTTTCGAATTCGGTTAGAGAAAAAAAAAAACAAGAAACGTATTCACCGCGCAGCGCCGGCCAAGGCGCACTGCGTGGCGAGTCCGGGACGGTGATGGTGAATGACGTCACGAAGCTGTCACGTGAAGAGCCACGTGCGGCTCCCGAGCCGCAGGTTGCCGATCCCTTGGCCTAGTGGAGGCTCAAGACCGCTCCCCACACACACGCACGTTCAAACACACACACACACGTTCAAGCACACACACACACGTTCAAACACACATACACACACACACGTTCAACCACACACACACGCTCAACCACACACACACGCTCAACCACACACACACGCTCAACCACACACACACGCTCAACCACACACACACACGCTCAACCACACACACACACGTTCAACTATACACACACACACACACGTTCAACCACACACACACACGCTCAACCACACACACACACGCTCAACCACACACACACTCAACCACACACACACACGCTCAACTACACACACACGCTCAACCACACACACACACGCTCAACCACATACACACACGTTCAACTATACACACACACACACACGTTCAACCACACACACACACGTTCAACTATACACACACACACGCTCAACCACACACACGTTCAACTACACACACACACGCTCAACCACACACACACACACGCTCAACCACACACACACACGTTCAACCACACACACACACGCTCAACCACACACACACACGTTCAACTATACACACACACACACGTTCAACCACACACACACACACTCAACTACACACACACGCTCAACCACACACACACACACACGCTGCTTCTTCTCTCACGAACTCGGCGGCCTCCGCTGCAAGCGCCTCACTCGTGCGCTTGGCTCATTAGCGGAGTGCGAATGGGAGCCGGCTGCACTTTCAGACTGCTTGCTCGCTCACTCACGCACGCGCGCCTTGGCCCCCGCCCGTGTGTAAAGGGACTGGTGGTGAGGGGGGTGGTGGTGGCAAATCCCGTGCGGGCGACAGTGACGCGTTACAAACGTGCGCCAGGGAGGCCTATTAATAAACCAGGTGGTCGTGTCTCAGAAATAGAGATCGCAGCCTCGCTCCTGTCTCCTCATTCTCTTCCTGCCTCCTCCTCCCTCACCCTCACCCTCCTCCTCCTCCTCGTCATCTTTGCGCAAAATGTGCGATCCTCGCTGCGGCTGTTGTCTTTGGGTATTGAGGTGGTGGGGGGGGGGGTCGCGGGGTGCGGCGGTGGTGGGCAGTGGTGGCGGCCAGGGGGTCGGTGTCGTGAGAGAGAGGATGGGGGAGCGGGGAGCGGGGAGCGGGGGGGGGGCCCTTGTGATTTCACGGTCGTGAGGTCAGGTAAAAGATTTGGCTTTTGGGTGTCGTTTGAAACGTGTGAGTCTGTGCACAATGGGGTTTAACCATCACCATCATCATGATCATCATCGTCGTCGGTGGCGAAATCACCATCGTCAGTTTTTTTTTGCATTTCCACGTAATTGGCCTGCACAGGTGGCCGTGTTGGGGAGCTTTGCCGGGCAACACAGCCCCGTAGGCCAGCGGGCGGTGACGCACGGCGCTGGGAGGCGCGCGTCCGCGGAACGCACGCGCCTAAATAATTGAACGCGGCACAAACGGTCCAGGACGTCCCCCCCCCCCCCCCGCTGGTGCAGGGCTCGCGTGGGCGAGCAAAAGGACGCGACTCCAGGCGTCGCCGCCGTAGCGGGCGCCCCCTCGTTTACTCGTTTACTTGCCCGTTTGTCCGATCGAAACATTTTGCTTCGGACGAATCCCCTTGGAGACGGGGAACGTCGTTGGCGGGCGGCGTGGGAGGGCACGCCGCGTTCGGCGGCGTCAACCGCGTTGGGGTTGTCACCACGGCGGCGCGCGGGGGGGGACCGCGTGTCCGCACGTCGCCGGGTTCGTGTCGGGTGACCTCGAAGTCACCGCGGTCGTCGTCGTCGTCGTCGTCGTCGTTTCACCGCCCGCCAACATTTGTCGTCGGTGACCACACGGCCCAGCGGCGCAACCGCAAACGCGTTGCCGCCTGCTTCGCAAGTGGACGTTTTAGGATGATTGTTTATGCCGGTGGAGGAGTCCGATGTGCTCCGACGAGCTTTTTGTCGCAGATGTCTCGTCCGGGGCCACGGGGTAAGAACGCCACAACGAACAAACACGACGGGAGCGCGAAGTGCAAGAAAAGTAAACAGATCGCCCAGACACACACGAGTCAAACGATAAACCATCCCCATTTTTGAGAAGCGACCTGGCCATCACGGAGGGCAGCTCAACAAATCGGCACCGTCATTTGCGCGTGGATAGCACCGACACAATCTCAGTGTTCTCACCGGGTGCATGTTTGACGTCAGTCGCCAGAGTAGGGGGAGGGGGGGGGGGGGCCCGCTGTCCAAATTGACCAAATTCTAATTCTAGACCCCGCAAAGTCGGGATGACGGAGAGCAGCAATCGCCCTGCCGCCCGCCACCGGCGGACTCGTGCCCGACGGGGACAGCTGCCACTGGGGGTGCCCTTTCAAATGATTGGGTGCTGCTGCTGCGATGGCGAGTGGTGCCCAAGCACAATTAATTTAATTTTAAAAAATAAAACAAACAAGTGCGTGCGCGCGCGTGTTATTGGGGAGCAGCGGCGAATCGAACCCGGCGCCACGCGCATTTGGGGGGCGGCCGCTCCGCTCGCCACCTTACCGAGACTCGGGGCCGAGCAAGCGGGGGGGTGGGGGGGGGTGGGACACGAGCGTAAAGCCCACGGATCCACAGAGCACGCGTACACTTTGGCCCTTAATATATACAAAAGTCCATAACCACCACCCCCCGCCACCACGAGAGAATCGCGACGAATGAATTCCGCCGTCAAGTGGCCGCGCGGGCACCCGGTGGGCGGCGCTGGGGCTTCGTTCTGAATCGAGGATTAATGTGGCACGCGTGCCCACGCTCGCCCTCTCCGGAGACGTCCGCCCGCCCGCCCGCCGGCCCGCCGGCCTCTAGGATGCGCGGGAACGATCGCTCTGCTCTGCTCGCTCGCTCGCTCGCCCACCCGCGGTCCCCGGCTCCTCTCCCGCTCGCTCGCTCGCC